CTACAGAGACAAGAAGATATCTCCACTGTAGTGGCTGTTGTCTTATGGCGTATGGCTGAATCTCCTCAGTAATGGGCATTATACCACCTTCTTAAAGACTATATCCAATATCTAGAGAGTGATTAGTTCACCATCTTTACCGACTTATAAATCATCTCACTGGATACTTGTTAGCTTAAGATATCTTCTCACAGCTAATAAGCCTTTTCTCAGCTGGTATTCTTTTTTCTTCAACAAAATGGTAGTTTTGTCCTTACTCTATAGTGACTCTGCATGGACAATATGTCCCTCCACATCTATTATTCAAAGGAAAAACTGAAAAATACTGTGACTTGCTCTTTTCTACATCACTTATCTATGTTTCCAACATGATGACACAAAAGCCTCTGTTCCCCTCTTCTTTCCTAAGCAACTCTTAAAATTCTACACAAAGGAATTAAAGGTCACATCCCCAAGTTATATCAACTGGCTGACATAAAGTTATTAAAAATGTTTCTTAAATTAGATTACAAACTTTAGAGACAGAGGTTGAGTAAATAAGTCACAAGTTATAAAACTGGGACAGGCGTGCTACACCAAATTCTCAGGAACCTTGCAGGAACACTTCATGGTTCTGAGTTTAAGGCATAGGAGGGATGCCTTCATACATCCATCTCTCTTGGATGTCAATACTGCTGAAGGATTGACAGACTCTGGATTTATTAGTTTTACAGATAGAAAATCAACTGCTGATATCAGTTACCACCCACTGTGGGGTGTATCCTGAGACACTGGGACTATTTTGATCCAGAGACCCTTAAGAAGAAGAGATTGATTTTCACTTGTAATTTTTGCATGGCTTCAATATGAATTTTGGGATAAAGAGAAATGGCCCCTCAATGGGAGTCTAAACTATAATACTCTATCCCAATTAGATTCCTTTTGCAGAAAAGAAGGAAAATGGTCAGAAGTCCCCTATGTATAGGCTTTGTTTTTACTGGGCAATCAAAAAGATTTATGTGCTCAGTGGCTTGGTGATTTCCTTATAGCAATTATGAGTCAAGATATTGTTGGCCTAGGGGATCCCCCCAAACTATACCTTCCTCCCTCTCAACAGCGCATTTCACACTCATATCTGTCAAAGCCTAACTCTCCCACTCTCCCTCTGTACCCACCATCCCTTCCTACTGCTCTCACTCCCCCGATCCTGGTTTGACTCATCATAAGCCTATCTCCAGATTATGCCCATTACAAGAAACAAATGGAGAATTTGGGTCAGATTACAGATTTTTCTAAGCTAGATCTAAAACAAATCTAACAGGCTTTGGGGAAGTTTTCTTATGATCCTGATAAGTATATAGAAGGATTGCAACATTTAACCCAGGCTTTTGATCTAACCTGGAGAGATATAACAGTAATTTTGAGTCAAACTCAAAATTAGACAAACAGACACAGAGAGACATCTGTTAACAGAAGCTGCTGGGGCTTTTGGGATTGATTTACATATTACTAACACTATATACCCTGTGGGTTCTTCAGCTGTTCCAACTGAGTACCCTAATGGAATTATGATGAATCAACTGGCAGGTGGCATGATCATTTGTTTCATGGCAGAACTTAGAAACCTATTGATTACATGAAATTGACCACTATCGATCGGGAGTTAGAGGAAGATCCCATGAGTTTTCTAGAAAAATTGAAGGAAGACTTAGTAAAATCTACACCTTTAGATCTTACATCTCTTAAAGGCAACATATTTTAAAAGATAAATTCAATATTCAATCCATCTCAGATATTGGAAAGAAATGACAAAAACTGGCAATGGACCCTGGGGCTTCTCTTGATGATCTACTCCAGGTAGTCTCCCAGGTTCTTTTATAACTGAGACTGAAAGGAAACTTTGAGGAACCAGTTAAAGGAGAAAAAGAGAGGCAAGAAATGGGTGCAATTATTGGCTGCAGTTCTTAGAGGGCACTCATTTCCTCTTCCATGGGACCCTCATGCCCCTAAATATGACTGTCATCAGGACACTGGAAGAAAAATTGCAGTATTAAGGGCAGGCTTCCAAAGACTCCTTGCCATATATTTGGCAGGAGAGTCTTCTGGAAAGCTGATTTCCCTGAGGACAAAAGGGGCCTCAAAGATCAGATATTCTTCAAATGATGGCCTAAGAATAAGGATACCTTCAAAATCAGGTAGTGCCCCCAAACAGTCAACATCAGTGGGGCAGAACTGAGGGTAAAATTGGAGGTAAGAAATTGGGCCATTCAATTACTTTTGGATACCAACCCTACCTATATAGTGTTTTAACCTCTTTCCCTGAACACCTTTCTGCTTATTCCTGCTTGGTGGTGGAAATCAGTGAAATACCCAAGGTAAGACATTTTACTCATCTCTGTTGCAGTTGGGAAGATATAATATTCACTCATTCTTTTTGGTAATGACTGAATATCCCACTCAAATATTGGGTCATGATATCTTAACCAACTTAGGAGCTTGTCTAAGTTTTTCACTCAAGGCACTGTGTTCTTTTCTTTTGGTGTTGTCAGCAGTTGAACAATCAGAACAATTGATTGACACAACCCTGTTGGGTTTCTCCCTACAAGGGAATGACTAGATAAATGACAATCTTTAATAATAGAACAAAAGGAAGGAAACATATGCATTACAAACCACTACTCACGTAGATTTTAAATTATGGCCTGAAATAAGATTTTGTCACACCCAACTCATGGAAAAAGCCACACTTTCTAAACCAATTTCCAAGCTTTTGCAATTATTAAGGCCCATTTGAGCCAATCCACTCTTCATCTTCTACTATCAATGCCAGAATATCAAAGATATAAGGATGGTTACTATCAAATTTGGGATGGATATATATGGCTTATGCACACCATAGGACAAAATCAGAAGGCCCCAATCTGTTGGGTCCCACTTATAAATGACTAATTCCATATGAGAGTTAGGATGAACACCAGAATCTCAATGTCAACACAGTGTAATTTTATAGGCTGATGATTGGTTTGGGACTAACTGTTTCCTCAGGCCTGGAATTAGATGGCCAGCACCCAGTTGGACCATTGGATATGTGGTACAAACTCATGGCCCTAGATTCCTCCAAGCTGGATGGGAAGATGTACTATTGGGTATTAAAGGATGCAAGGGAGGTGGGCCCCCAAAATAGGATAACCTACAAACCTCCCCAATCTCAAGAATAGACGGGGATGATCTGTTTCTCATTGGAATGATCATTTAGCTTCACTGTTTATCTCACAAATTGGTCTAGAGAATGTAATCTGACCATTTATACCCATGCAGCTCTCCATGACACTGAGAAAGGTGACATTCATAAGAAAAGCTGTTTTATAAAACTGAGTGGCCTTGGATGTTCTCACAGTAGCTCAGGGTGGTACTTGTGCCATCATTCAGACAGAATGTTGTGTTTATATTCCCAACAACTCTGAACTCAAGTTCTCAAAGATTTGCACTTTCAAATAGATCCTGTGTCCTTCCTGGCCTTGTCATGAGGACAACTTTTAGTTCATGGTTTTATGGAACTTCCTTGTGGAGGAAATTGCTAGTATCTACAGTCATTCTCAAACTCATTGGTGTATTTGGACATTGCTGTGTCTATTTTTTCTCTATCAATCTTATTCTAATACTTAGGGGTTTTTTTGTTTTTCTTGTAGGGCATCCGCCTCCCAAATTGTTTACAATCTGTTTCTACTAAATCAGAGATTTACTGTGGTTTCCTGGATAGGTCTTACTCATAATCCAGACCATTTCACTGACAGACAATATTTGGGATACCTACCCTGTAGGCCTCTGCCCCTATTCAACAGAAAGTAGCTAATGATCTGACTTCATTGCCCTTATTCCTAAAGTGAATTAGGGTCTCCAATCCTTGAGAGGGGGAAATCTTAAGTAGTAGTTACTAATAAACAGTGAAATGCAAGGTCATGGTTTTTCTTTAAATTACTTTTAAGGCAAATGGGTCATCATATAACTTGTAAAAAATAAAAATCAGGTGTACAGACATGTACATTTAAAAGTGGCCAATTTCATGCCACTTTTAAACTTTTATTTCTAGTAACAAAAAGGACATAGTCAATAAAAATATAAGTTGTATGTTTGTGTCTGTGTCTGTATATTTCAAAGAAAGGATTCCATCAAACTGATAATAACAGTTATTTATGGGGAAGACAGTGGCTTTGGAGAGGTGTATAAAGAGAACTTTCATCCTTACTTTAGTTACACTTCAAATGTTTTGCTGTTCTTGTATTGAGTGTATATTGTTTTATATTACTTATATATTACTGAGTGTATATTGTTTATATTGTATATTATGTTTGAAATAGAAAAGCGTTAATTTTTTTTAGAAGAATTCCTAGTCTCAGATATACAAACCAAGAACTTCAAGGATTTTTTAGGAATGTCCAAGAAAGGGAAAGAATTAAAATTTGTCTCAAATTCACATGAGCTTGTAGTTGTTTTTAAAAATTTTACCAGAGTAAGAAAATGACTGTATCTAAGACTATTTGAGAGTAAAAGGGAAAATAAATGAAAAAACAGAAACCCGTGTAATTTTTTTTATAAATCATATAAACTTCCCAAGTAAAAGATTTACTATTTAAAAATCAATCAATTCATAAGCATAAGATTTGAAAACATTGTGGCTAAAACCAGTAAAGCTATTAAAAGATTTAATTCTTTAAGGATCAAGTAAGTGTTAGCCATAAAACAAAATGAAAGAACATCTGGAAGGCAAAGAGGTTGAAAGATTGGAAATTAAAAAGCAAATTGTATGCTTAGTGCTACTGAGGGACTTCAGCAAATGGATATGAACCCATTTGAAAATAAATACAGAGTTTGTGTAATTACAATGAGCCTGAAGATGGATTTAGCATTTATATATCTCCTGGGAAGCTTTGTGAGTTAGCAACATAAAACCAAAGTACCATGAGGTTATTAAAATATTACTTCCTGTTGTATCATAGAACCTGAGAAGAGAATAAACATACCGATTACTTGTGTGGCTGGTTCCACATCAGTTGTGGCCTCTTCCAACAAGGACAGCAGCTTGGCTGATATCTGATGCACAGATTCAATGTTGCTAAACAAACTCTCCACATCCAGCCTGTCAATCTGAAGAAACACAAATATTGAGTACCAGATGATGGAAATAAAAGCCTTCTATGTAGGATGCTTTCTCCTATAAACAGTAAGCATTAGATTTGCCAGTACATGCTGCCTCCATTAACCATTTCTGTAAACATTTTGGATTCAGAATTTCTAGAATAGATGTGCAGTTTTTCATTCTGGAAATTGAGATGGTGGTCTATTATTTTTGTCTTTAAGTATGTAGAGTTGAGAGTACAGCTACATAGTCTGATAAAAACCAGAATGGGAAGAAAATTTAGTCCTAACTGGTATTCTTAATTAATGCCCTTTAGGAAGATATATACCAGTGTGTATAAATTTAGAATATTTTGCTGCTTTCAAAACAGAAGACAAATCTCACCCTTGTCAAGTAACTATGTTCAGAGCTATTTTTAAACCATACATTTCTAAAAGTGATGACAAATAGATGGACTGGATTGCTTCTGGTTCTTTTCTTTAGAAATAAATGTGAATGGAAATATTCACCAAACACATACCATTTAAGGATTTATCATATTTGTAATTTCATGTACACCGTCAAAGTCATTCTTTCAATCAGTGTAATATTCTTAGATCTTATAGACAGTGCTTATAATAATGGATAATTATTAATTTATCCATTCTTTCATCAAACATCAACAAGCATCTTCTAGTTACTGAGAATTGGAATAGAAGGCAGACTCTGTCAAAGGTAGCAGCTGATTAGTAGTGGGACAGTCAACTATCCTGTGCCATCTCAGTGTGGTGAGACATATGCCCTGATTTTGGTGGATCTGATTCAGAATTCATCGCTTGAGTCAGATCTCCTTTCATGGTCAAATAGTGCTTATTCAGGGCATTACTGCACTGGTGCAGGCTCCACCAGGCACAGCAGGGAACAGGAGTGGGTACTATTTACCCATAATACTTACCAATAAGTATTGTTCCTGAGGTCATCAGTGAACAACTTAGTCATCAATAATCGGGGAGTTCAGTTAAGGAAAAGGAGCTGATGAACTAAGGGAAATTAGGAACAAGATGTATAAGATAAAATCAAGACCTGGAGGAATACTGGAGCTAAAGACCAACGACTTCAATCTCTTTCCCATGCTTTCAGAATAACTTTCTTAGGTATGCTAGGTCTATTTGAGGGGAGGAAGTGTGAGAAATATGCTTACCTGTGAGAAACACACTCACTTAACCCAAACCCAAAGAATGGGCTCTGAGACACAGGTACAGCAAAAAAAAAAAAAAAAGTGAAACTTTAATGACAATCTTGCAAGATCAGGTTTCCTGGTGGTCAGTGGCCCTCAGAATGGTTACAATCAGCATTTTATCCCTAGTGCTAAAACATTCGCCCCCACTCCCTGATTCCTCATTGGCTCAGTACTATGGGATACATAGTCTTCCCAAACGTCACTAGGCTTTACTATATCCTATTGGGTTATTTAAAGAAATAAAGCTTTAGTTTTCCCCATCTCCCTTCGTTCTCTTGTGGTGGGAAGTTCTTCTGAGGGTGAATTTTGACATGTACACAGATCTTACTTCTTTACGTAAGTACTATTTCTTAACCGACAATTCCTATCTCTATTGGTCCATTACCCCACCTCCTGTTTGCCAAGGGGCTGTTCAGGCGTGTGGACTTTGGATCTGCTGCATCCATAGGCTATGGTGCTATTGTGTGAGTTAACTGCTTGTAACTTTCCATTCAGTTCTATTTCCCCTATTGCTGACTTCTTTACACCCCAATTTTACTCTTATGGCTAAATACTGTATTCTGAAAATGGACCACCGAACTTTCTATTTCTCACAGAAGGAGTCTGTTCTTTTTTTTTTTTTTTTTTATTCCATCCCTTTTTTGACATTGGCCCATCTATTGTTCTTCATATTGGGCACATATTATTTTGGTAAGGATATTTTGTCATTGAAATTAGAAGACTGACTTCAGATTCCACCTTTTAAAAACATGTAATTAGATCATGCTAAACACATTTTTTTAACCATCTTGAAAAATTCCTCACTTTCCTATCATCAACTCTGTCCCAAAGAGAGCTCCAGTTTCATTTATAACCAAAGCCATATGACTGTATGCAACAATTTATTTCAATATTGGATTGGAAAACGTATTTTTTCACTATTTTAAGTATTCTAAAATTATCTGTATCTGCATAATAATCAATATATTATGATCACTGTTGACTCTTAGGGTTCTGACTTCATTGTCTCCCCAAATGTTTCTTCAACTAAACATTCACTTTCAAAGAAAAGAGCACATGTGATTCTTTCGCCTGAAATGTAGGGATATTCAGCACTTCCAGTTTCTATTTTAGGAAGTATATCTAAAAATTATACAAAATATCTAAAGGCATATAATGGTAGTGACTCTTGTTAATTACCACTTATGAAATTGTCATTTAATGATAACTTGCTTGAATTTTAATTTAATGATAATCATTAATTTAACATTTAATGATAATTTATTATCAATTGTTCGGAAGTCACATATTTTTGCCTACCACTGATTTAACACACTAAAAGAATTGCCTTCTGGGTAGTAATTAAATTCACAAAGGTATAACTTTGCATAGGGCCATATGTTTTCCAAAACTTGTGTAGGAATCAAGTTTTTGTACATTGATTTGTTTTAAATGTACTGGCTCTTTATTTCTTCAAGTCACTTCTAAAATGATTCCTTCCAAGTGTGAAATTTTATCCCCTAATTTACTCACTTTATAAGGTAGAAGATTAAATGTGGTTTATATAATATATCCCTATTATTATTTCATTTTGTTGTGGACACTTTATTCTGCAGACTTGAAGTGCTTCATATTTATTATTTCACACATTACTCCAACTTCTCTGGAGAGTGTGAACCAGTTTGAAGATAGGAAAACTAATGCAAAGCCAAAACAGGTATAATACTCAAAATTATGCAAGAAGCTCAAGACAGAGTTAGGACAGGAAATTGACCTTTTAGTTCTATTCCTTAATCCACTATCAGCACTACTTTGCCACCTCTATTTCAACTGTTTTGGTTTGTTGCTAATTTTCTTACCAAGTTGTTATTTCCTCAAATTTATTACCCAAGGTCACTATTCTGCATATCTAATTTGGATTATAAATCCATTTAGCATGAATCTAAATTCTACATCCTATCTATAATCTTAGCTCAGTGCAAAAAATACTAAGTAACAAAAATTTAAGTTTTAATTCCATTTCTTCCTGAAGGACAGAAAGGATTAAAACATCAATTGGCCTGGTTTCAATCATATCACCATGGGCCCATGGGTATTCTGTGAATCATAAAATGAATTCACATCAAGTCACTGCTGTTCTGAGGAACAAACAAATGTCTGGTCCAAATAGGCTTTTAAAACTGACAGATGATTTTATGATTACCGACATAAATCAAGGAAACATACACATATATATTTATTAATCATTTACTAGAAATAAGCAATGCTCTAAGAGCTTAAAAGTTGAATTATATTTTAAGTGGATTAAAAGTTAGTTTTTGAAAAGGACTTAGTGTAAAAGTATACGCTATTCTAGGCCAAATCAATATATAGTAATTCAGACTTCACCAAAAAAAAAACAAGGTCAGTGTTTACACTAAAAATTTAATTAGTTGCTTTATGAAAGTATTCATCATGAAATATACTGCAAATGACAAGTTTTCATTACATTTAAATAATGACTAGATTTTAAAATTAGGTGGCATGATGCCTCCAGCTTTATTCTTTTGCTTAGGATTGCTCTGGCTGTTCCGAGTCTTTGTAGTTTCCATAAAATTTCTAGGACTTTTTTTCTATCTCTTTGAAAAATGTCTTCAAAATTTTGATATAAATTGCATTGAATCTGTAGGTTGCTTCGGGTCATATGGACATTTTAATAAGATTATTTCCCAGTTCAAAAACACCTGATATCCTCCTCCCATTTTTCTGAGATGACTTCAAATTTTTTCATCAATATTTTGATATAGAAAACTACTATAAAGCTATAGTACTCAAACCAGCATGGCACGGGCATAAAACTAGATGTAGAGATTAATGGAACAAAATAAAAAACCCAGAAGTAAATCCACACACTTATGCTGCATTGATTTTCAACGAAGGTGCCAAGGACACACAATGAGGAAAGGACAATCTCTTTAATAAATTGTGGTGAGGAAACTGGCTTTCCACATGCAGAAGAATGAAAGTGGACCCTTTTCTAACACTACATACAAAAGATCAACTCAAAATGGATTAAAAATTTATACATAAGATCTAAAATGGTAAAATCATTGGGGGAAAATCAGAGTATGTGTCAATACTCAGACCAATGTCACATTGGTCTGAGTATTGACACATAAATATATATTTTTGGTACCAGAGGTTGAACCTAGAGGTGCTTAATCACTGAACCACATCCCCAGCCACTTTTTATTTTTTTATTTTGGTACAGGGTCTTGCTAAGTGCTTAGAGCCTTGCCAAGTTGCTGAGTCCGGCTTTGAACTTGTGGTCTTCCTGCCTCAGCTTCCCAAGCCACTCTGATTACAAGTGTGCACCACTGTGCCTGACTGATATTTTTGGATAGATCCAAAAGCATAGACAACAAAAGTAAAAATAAACAAATGAGATTACATCAAACTAAAAAGCTTCTGCACAACAAAGAAAATAATCATGGAATGGAAGAAAATATGTGCAAACCCTACATCCTATAGGGGTTAATGTCCAAAATACACAAGAGCTCAACCAAACCATATAACTAGTAAGGAAAATGGACAAAAGACCTGAGTAGATATCTCTTAAAAGAAAACATACAATTTCCAATAAGAATATGAAAAAATTCTCAACATAAATCATCAGGAAAACACAAATTTAAAACACAATAAGATAGCACTTCACACCTGTTAGAATTTCTATTATCAAAAGGACAAAGATGTGATGAAAAGAATACCTTTGTACTTAGGAGGTCAAAGTGTAAATTAATGTAGCCATTGTAGAGAACAGTAGGGATTAAT